GACTCGGCACCACTGATCACCACCCTTCTACCCTAGAAGATTTTAAATAAGTAAATTTATTTAAAACGATGGTATCCTAACCTATGTATGTAAAGACTTGGAAGAAAGTTTAAGATATTATGATTGAGGTGTATTGTCCATACAGCTACATTTAATGTAATCCTGCTCTCATGTTGTTTCTCCAGTATAAAAGATAGAAATGTACTTTCAATTAAAATCAGTGGAAAGAGATGCTTTTTAGGGGGTTAAATGTTTAAAATTGATACTCACCAGTATTGTGTAAAGGACTATTTCTTCATAGACTCAGGACATGACCACTTGCACCACTGCTTCAATGGTATTGCCTACAGTAAAGGTCTGGCTAGAACAAGGTCCTCAAATGTATGACACAGTCTTGAGTTCTCTGTTTTAAGTATCGGTTTAAGTACCTGCATCGACGAGGTCTCTTTTTTCCCTAGTGCCAACTGTGGATGTGTTTCAGATCTCTACTAAGGAAAGATTTGGGTTGGGACATCAGCTGAAAAAGTAAGTTTGGAAAAGTGTCAACCTATGTGTTTAAATATTATGCTCATTTTAGCTCCCAGATCATCTCTAATATGGTCAAATTCACAGTTGTCAAGTTGATTGGATCAAAATATTTTGAACTTATTTTTTCTTAAAAATCAACAACAACAAAGCAAAGTTTTTGCCTTTTTTTAAGTTCAATTTTGACAGTCATTGGAAATAAGTTGATTTGTGGTTCCTGACAGGGTTTCTTGTCACTTTACTGACCTTTAGGAAGCCAGCTACAAAAGTTGAGAAAGACAGTTTGATTTCATATTTCTACTGAGATTGTGAAAAGTCTCGGGAGCAGGCATCTTTTTGAGCACCATGCTTTTTGGGCATCATCTAAGTGTTGATCAGCAGGATATACTACAATAATGAGGCTATCCAAGTTTTGATAAAAAGAAGGAAGAATAGCATAGAAAAGTTAGCAGTTACATGTATTCATGATACAATCCAATTTTCTTAACAGTCTGGTGAGTCATCTTTTCACATATGCTTGTGTTTATACTTCTGAATCAATTTGTCCCTAATCCTTCATGGGAAGCACACTTTGGCAAGTCTTGCAGTGGCTGGTTACATGGAGCATATTCTCAATGAGGGTACTATTTGAATTAGTTTTGGGTGAGGGGAGTTGGAAAACTTTTTTGAAGAGCTGAGGCACCCAGTTGTCAGTCCACAGAGAAACTGCCTGCAGAAGGAGGATGTTGCATCACATAACCAAATGGTGAACACAGAGGCACTGATATTAAAGCAAGTTTGACCTGCCTATGATATGGAAGTCTTTCTTTCTTGCAGAATCATGCAGACGTTTGTTACACAGCAGTGGAAGAATAGCAGAGAGAAGTCTAATTGTACGTACAATGAGAAAGTGTCTGACAAAAAGGTGAAATCCCCTCTGCACATCTTTTCTACATTGCGCAGGTATAACAAGGCAAATGAGCTGTTGTTATCACATCCTGTACAAAATCCACAGCATACTTCACAAGGTGAAAAGTTCACTTTACTCCATAGAGAAGTTTTCTATTTATATCCTACCTCATGGGTTTCCAGCCTTTGGCTTGCATGACTTCAAAAGTGAACTACATACTACTGCAGCTTCTAAGACTATTTGAAGGCAGAACCTTTCAGTGCCCTGCTCTCCAAAACAACTGTGATTCATCTAGAACTGGAAATAATTCCTTTCGTATTGCTTAACTTGGCTGTATTTGTTACTCTACTACTTTGGTACCATTTGACTGTTATTTGGGTTGCAAGCATATATATTGCTAATTTTGTGGTTGTCCAACTCTTCTTTCCACACCTGTATGTATTTTTAATTATTTAAAAGTAGAATGATCCCTGTGTCAAAGACTGACTTTGAGGGCTGCTGAGCACCCACATACCCCCACTATTTGAATGCCTGAATGTTCAGAATTCCTGCAATGTAGGCACAGAATTTCAAGTCCAAAGACATTAAAAAACATACAAATAATAGTAATGGTTTGGTTAAATTCATTAAGACTGCTACCAGTTACCATTACACTTTAATTCTCTGTCAAATCAGGCTCTGATTTTCTGTTTTTCAGGAGTATGACTGTCTACTCTATCACGTCCGCTTCTGAAGGGTTGACAGATCACCCCTTCCATTAATTTGAAATTTTGCCATTCTAAATTCTATATTTAAATTCTAAATTCTATATTTAAAAAGTGGGATATTTGCATCGAGAAGGGAGGAATATCACAGATGGCAAAAGTTTCTTTGTTTGTTTTTTCCTATTCAAAGGTAAAAGAGGAAGACTGTGCTTTGAGCAGAAAGCTCACCCATTCCCTACCTTGCCACTCACCATTAGCCAACACAGTTTGTGCAGGCTGTAGCTTTGGGGTTGCTTTTATTCAGAAAGAGCATATAAAAGCCAATCTAGTTTTCCTCCTCTGGAGTTGGCCTGATACAGCTGTCCCTCTTCCAGGAGCCCAAGCTTGAGGCCCCCCTTTCCTCTCCCTAGAGTCCCATTCCCACCTCCCGCATGTCTTGAGTGTGATCATGAGCCATCTGCAGCCGTGAGTCAGCAGGCTCCACTTCTATTGCCCACTGTCATCACTTGCTAAAAACCTGGGGAAACCTGCCAGCCTCTTACAGGGATTTTCCCCTTGGGGTTTCATTTCTTCTCTATTCGATTCAAGTCAAAAAATACACAGAAGATTTGGATTACTTATAAAGCATAGCAAAATGATTCAGCATATCTTATAGCAGTTCATGTTTTGCAAGGGAAGGTGAATGTGAACATTATAGAAATGTGCCAGTTCATATGAATGTTGTTTCATAAAAGCCTTCTGTTCTTTGTTTTCTGTATTCATAATTTGGGTTCCGTGCTTTCTCATTTCCAGTTTTACAAAGGTAGAACTTGTCTAAAACAGGACAGAATGGGGTCAAATTGTCTTCCACAAAGCACTTGGATTATTGTGAGGTTAAAAAAACAATCATTTCAGCTGAATTAAATTTGAGTTAGTGCCTGCAAGTCTCATTGCTCATTATATCTTCCATTTGATCTGCATGTAAAATTTGTTATGCTATGTCCAGAAGACCGTAATTTTAATGAGATCATGCCATAATGATTACATAGGAAAGATAGATTTTAATAAAAGAAATGTGTTTTAATCTTGTGTGAAATATGTGGTTTCTATTTCAAAAATAACTGCCTAAATAAGTGTTTTGATTAGAGATCTAGGGACATGGATCAAGAACTAATGATATAACTCATTCCTGCACATAAGCAATTAGCTGCCTTTCAATCAATAAGAAGTTGTGTATAAAATGGGAGTAAGACTTGGTATTCAGAAACTTGTCCTATGTGCAAGTGCTCTTTTTTAATAGTGTTGAGCTGGTTTATCACTAGTCAGATACCTAAAGACAGCTGGCGCTTAAAAATTCATGAATACACATGGATTTTGTTGCTTGTTTCGCACAAGTTTTTGATTAACCTTCAACTACATCTTTCCATTACTTATTTTTAAGGTCGCCAAGCTATCCTCCACCTGGTTGTGGTAAAAATAAATCAAAACTGAAGCCGGAACAGGATGGCATCTGCAAAACTCACAAGCTACTGAGAAGGACTTGCTCCAGCACAGTTAAGACGGAGGATGTGTGTGCCACAAAATCCCACAGAACCTTTGGCCGCTCGCTGTCCAGTGACCCTAGGGCTGAGCAGATGATGGCTGTTAAATCGCACAAACTGTTGAACCGTTCTTGCTCTGCGGCCATCAAGCAGGAGGAGTGCATCACTTTAAAGCCCCATAAGCTGCTAAGTAGGTCCTGTTCGGGAGATCCTCGATGTGAGCACAACAGCACCTTGAAGCCCCACAAACTTTTAAGCAGGTCTTACTCCAGTAATCTGAGAATGGAAGAATTAGATGGGCTGAAGAATCACAAGTTACTCAGCAAGACTTACTCCAATGCCCCTAAGTCATCCAAAATTGAGCCTTTCAAGGAGTCCACCATAGCAGAGGGCAGGAGGCTCTCTCTTACCTCAGGGCTTATTGGTTTCTTAACACCATCTTCATCATCACCTTCACAATCTGCTGTGCGTAATAATTTTTTTATTCTGCTTGTTTTTCTCACATTATTTTCAAATATGCTGTTATGCTGCTTATGCAAAGGCAGTAATATTCAGGACATACATTAGTGGAGATTTTGGAATAATTTAACATTCAGTGAAGAATAGTGCAATCTTCTTTTTAAAGTGGATTTAAACAACTATCCATACACATATACTTAGGTCATAAAACCATAATCTTCTTAAGTCAAGATGGAGACTTTACAGTCTCCTTGAACACAACTCAATGTATAGATGGTGGCCACTGAGAAAGACCAGTCACCTCCTTCCTTCACTGCTTTCTTGCTGCAGAAAGGAGGGAGAGCATCAACTTCTGTGCTGGAAACTTGGCTTGGTCACACAGGTCTTTTTTTGATTTCCCTGTTTGCATCATGAGGGAAGCAACACCCCTCAGCTCATTCAGATGCCAAGTCACTTCTCCCTCTAGGCTTTTCATCTTTGACCATCATCGTGGAAGGCATGCGGTCACAGTTCAGCTCACCTTGTATGCGCTTACATTTTGCGAAAGGTTTAACCTTCCAGCACCCTGATGGCAGCAGAAGGTCAGGGAAGGAATTAGGCTCACACTCTCTCTCTCCATTTTCCCAATCATACCTCTGAGAAAGAAAGTCGTGCATATCACTATGTTTATGAAATAGAGTTCACACGTAATTCTTCTGTCTCTGACTCTTAGAAGATGGCTTTTACACTTCAGAGTAGTGAGCTGGGCTGTTTGTGCTCCTTCAAAGGCCCTGGTCTGTTTTCTTTGTTAGGTTTAGAAAGAGGCACTTTGGAGACTGTACTCTCCAGTGTCTCAGCCAGAAAGGACCTTGATTTCCCAGCCCATAGAAACTGAGATTCTTGGTTGTAATGCTGTATACATTTAAAACAGTACCCTTTGAATAATAAAATTACACTGAGTGTATTATGTTTCATAGTAAACTAGTTTAATAAGTTCTGAGCTATACTCATCAAATCAAAAATGATTGATTTCTTGTTGTAAAACCATTTATATACATGCTGTGTGACTGGTTTTTGTGAACTGCACAACCAAACTAATTTAAGATGAGCCAGCAAACTTTTTGTCTGTACCAGAGCAGAGGTTCTTTTTTTTTTTTTTCTGAAACAGCAGAGGAGGTCTCAACAATATTTTTCCTCCTGAAGTGCAGAGAGACCGATTAATTTTGATAAAATAATGAAGAGTTGCCAAAGTAGTTTCATAACAGATATTATCAGTTGATTCAGAAGAAATGCAGGTCTGACAATAATCTATAAAGGTCTATATTAGTCCTAGTAATTTTATTACTATAATGCATTTACTTTGAGGGAAATCATCACATACATGGTCACATGCAATTTCACAAGTATTAGCTGAAGAGCATCAAGAATCCATTTCACATTTTACATGTGGGGACCAGACATACAGGTCATCACGATACCTATCTCTATTCTGAGGTCTGTGAAATGTGTAACTGATGAATTAGGTCCCTAACTTATTTTAAATTTTCAGCTAAAATGTTTGGGTCTCATATATATACATATATATATATATATATACCTCCAAATATAATATATTGAAAAGCTGTAAATGGAGCTGATCTGACTCTTAGTCAAAACAAGGGTTGTTTGAGATAGATGTCAGCTGGGGGGAGTCCTGGACCTTACTGATTCCCATAGCACAGCTACCTTCAAATTTATGTTGTTGAACATTGAAAGAAAAAGGCAGAAGGAATGCGAATGGGATCTGAGAGAGCTGTCAGTTTAGAGCTCACAGAACTGATCTCATAGTAAATATGAAAGAAAAAGATTTTCAGCACTTCTAGAAGTTTAGTCATTCAAGCCTAAGCACATATTTCATATTTAGATAGGCATAAAGACAATGCCTTGTTTAAATGTGAAAGAAGTAATCAAATACCTGCTCATTAGAATGGAGTTGAGGAAATTGGTGTTTCCATTTGAGACTAGAGTTTTGGGATGCTGAGATACACAAGCTACGAAAGAAATGCTACAAACCCACCCTACACTCAGCAAACAGTAAAAAAGATGAATTATTTGTGATAATTGACTTATGCAAATGAGATATATTTTTTAGATGCAAATATTTTCTAATTAACAATTTTGTACACAAAAAATAGAAGTGTTTTACTATGTTCTCAAGAAAGCCTTAGAATTAATCTGCCATCACTGAAGTTGCCTGAACTTTTTTCTTGCAGCAAAATTATGGTGCAAAATGCATTCCAGTACGAGGCCGTGGCTTTCTGGTGCAGGTAGGATGTTATCTCTTACCCATTTTTTAAACACTCCAGAGCATGAGCTGACTGTTAATTATTTTTAAGCAGATGTTGTTATTCTCATTTTCATTGTTAGACTATTGAATTTGCTGAGCAGCGGATACCAGTGTTGAATGAGTACTGTGTAGTTTGTGATGAACCCCATGTGTTCCAGAATGGACCTATGCTGAGGGTAAGTTGTATGTTTGCCGAGTTAAGTAATGCATCTTTAATGCCTTCAATAGCAATAGAACATGCAAGCTTGTTATAAAACTATTGAAAATTTCAGGTGAGGTTCATCATAATTTTCTAGTAGGATACAAAAGTATAATGCATATTGACTAGCTTTTGCTGTACATTGAAAGAAATATAATGCAAGCGGAGAGGGAAAGGAGGCTTGTACAGTAATCATGGAAATATAAAGGAGGAATGTCTTTCACAGGACACTAATGTCTTAGAGTAGTCATGAGTGGATAAGGACAACTAAAGGTTGTGTATTAGGCTGCGTTTCTAACTTCTGATGCCCTTCACAAAAGCTTAGGGGTTATCTCAGTCTTTGAGCTCCCATCATGCAATAACCAGGGTGTTTAGATACACTGGTATTAATGCTACAAGGCCACAAGTACTGCTGCGTTTTGCACATGGGCCACTGGAAGGAATCATCCTCCATAGTTTGATTTTAAACAGACAGTAGAAGGAGATGCTGTGTGAAGCATCCTAGCTACAGCATCCTAGGCCTGAGGTGCTGTGGTGTTTCCATATGTCCAAGTTTTGGACAGTTACACATCTCTTCCTCCCTTTTCATACCCTTATAATTGGCAATGAGGAATTTGGCATTCTGAAAATCGTACCCTTTCAATGCTATTGGTGAATGCATAAAGTGAACAAGAATAAACTTATGAGATAAAACCATGGAAAACTGTGTTAAGCACCAGTGTATGGATAGTCTGACACCTCACCTGCCAATATCTTTCTCAAACATCAGGTCCCCAGCTAAGTCAGCACCTGTACGAATTGAGACAGACATCACCTATGATGTTCCCGTGGAAGTAAATGCAGGAAAGCTGTAGCAGAAATCACCTCACAGTCCCCGTGATGCTCAGTGGTACCCTGTTCAGGAACCCTGGCTGCAGGCAGAGTATGCAAACAGGCTGCTAATAGGATTTTCAGAGCACCTCTGTGTATGTAAATCAGGGCTAGCTCTGATTTAAGTCGCAGTTACACCCATGTACTTCTGAATATCCTATCAAGTGATTATTTGCCTCTTTAGGCTCATATCTGCCTTCTAAAACCAGAATTTTCTGCCAGCTTTATCAGCAATGAAATCCCAATGAGAAACCTATAGAAAAGGCACCAGTTTCTTATCTTTTCTCTTTGAATGCAGTACTATGGATGCTACCTGTGGCAGAATGAGATAAGATTCAAGTGAGCTATATGCAAAGTTTGGATAATATAATTATTTAAATTACCAGGTCTTTTCTATTGTCCATAGGACTTGGATAAAGCAAACTATAGAATTTCTTCCTGTTGCATGCTCAACTACTAAAAGAAAACAGCAAGGAAAGTCATTAGGTCTAAATTAAAAATTTTAATTCAGGTTTACCTCTGCATGTTTTTATTCCTCTCCCATCATAATGATCAAGACCTCTCAGATTGACTTTTCTCTTGGACCATTTGCAGCATACGGAAGAGTTATTTTAGCCATCAGTTTGGAAGCTGAGTGCTCCAGAACCAAGGAAAGTGCAAACATATTTGCCATTGCACACATATTAATCAGTGTCTCTGCAGGCAGCATAACCTAGCTAGCACTGCAAAAACGAAAGTGAGTCCTTACATCACCCAGAGGGAAGGAGATGGTGGGAAGAAATCTATCATGCTCTCTGTATGCTTGAATGATTCAATAACCAATATAGAACTATTAAAGAATCTGCAGTTCTGCAGAGAGTGAGAAAGAAAGTATCTCAGTTTGAATCTACCATGAATCTACCAGAAGGTTTTGAGGAAATCTGTGCTTCATTCTTCCAAGCACTTGCATGGAGGCAGCCCATAGTAGTTAATTTTACGTTTGTTTCAGGAAAATTGTTCCGTTTATTTAGATGCTTCAATAATATACATATGCATATATATATTTACATATCTCTTTTTCTGTATATTGATATGACCCAGCTTAAAGAGCACTTTGTTTAATACTGCTGCAACAGTGAATCTCAGGAATACTCTGCTCTTAAGCAGACTGCAGGAGGCTTTCATTTAAGATAAAACTTCATGGGACCTAGCCTCACTTCATTTATAGATCCCATATGCAGTATAGGGATACTGGTTTTCGTAAAGAGTTTAGAGTACTCACAGTTTTGATAACACAGTAACTTCATTGAATTTTGCAGCTAACTCGGCCTTGCTATTGTGTGCCTATATTTTTAGATTCTGTGGCATGATCTCACTTTCAACAGATATCTGTATCTCAAAAACATTGCTTAGATGGGCTCTGTAATTGGCTTTACCACAAAAGATGACTTCAGCTTAATAGTTCTGGATATTTAACCATTCTCTTCCTTTTAAAGAATGGTTCCTTCACGCACATGCACAGAGAGAGTATTATGTGGGCAGGGGGTCATGTACCTTAGTGATGAATTTCCCTTCTACTTTTCAAAGAAAAAAAAGGGATATAAGTTTATAAAAGTTATTGCTTGAGAAGTTCTTTTTAAACATGTTTAGGCTTGATTTTCTGCTGTCTAATGAAGTTTTATTTAATTACAAGGAAGCAGTATTCACTGATGCCAGTAAAGAATTTGATTTTGCAGCCCTTCATTCTGTCCACCTTTCCTGGGTGGAAATGTAGTTTAATTAGTTGTCTTGAAATGAAGTTTAAAGTATTTAACAATTGTTATCCCACAAAAATTATGTTCTTTTAATACTTCAAACAATACTTGAAACTCACATATCTTTGTGTAATTTCCTGTGCTGGTTATTAATGTCTCGCACAGTTTCAATATCTTGTTCTCAGGACAGCTGGAGATATCAAGTGAAGCTATGAGATAAAGCTTTTCTTTTCTGCAGATTTGTTCTACAGGCTGTGTTTTTATCTTAGTTATACAGTATCGTTCAATCAGTCTGTCTCAGTACAAGCTTTCTTCTCAATATTGTGACGCTTTTTCTTAAGTAACATTTTTTGCGGAATTGGTCTGATTTTAGTACCTTTCAATTTATTTATTTATTAATTGTGATATCTCCTTTCCCCTAAAACAGGAGCAACCTGAAGCAAACAGTATTGTTTAATTTAGTCACTAGATGCACCTGGCAGGCATACCATGATACGCAAGATGCCTGCTGTAGAACAGCTGTGTGGAACAATTGCTTAAGTTTGGTTTTATGCTCTTGCAATGAAAACTTGTCTTGCTCCAGAGAACACAGTGCTAGGGATCCTGTCAAACACAGCAATCTTTAGATGTT